GTGAGTATATTTTCTCTGAACATAAATTCCTTCCAAGAATTCCAAGGTGCTCACACCTGGGAGGAACTTACTTCTGTAGAATCCCAAGAAGGTGACCAAGTCTATAGATTCCTTTTGTTTGTTTTCATGTTCTTCACAAACAAGTACTGAAATGACATGGAAGTAGAAGAAGCATGTGAGAAAACCACCATATATATTAGGAACTAAAACAGAGCTGCAGCTTTAAAAAAAAAAAAAGTCTCTGTTTCATTATTAGAAATAATGTGAAGAAAGAATAATAAAAGCCAAGTTTCTTGACAAAAGGTGAAATTTCATAATACCACTACATTATTCTTCAAGTCTGTTAAAAATTTATGTGCATCATATTTTGGAACTAATAATTAACACAATTGGTTAGTTTTTGAAGAACTGGTTTTTCAACTACATATACAAACATATCTGTGTTTTCACAGGCTTAAATAATGGTTTGAGTCCACTGTTTTATCTGATATACTGATTGACTGTATTTGCACTTGAGATCAAATCTACTGCTGCTCAGGGAACATTAAGAAATTGTGAACTTTTTCTATTTTTGTTGCATGAAAATTTTATGAAAACAATACAATTTCTGTTAGCAACAAAAATTTATTTCTGTAGTGAAATCCAGAAAAAAGGGAATTTATAAAAGAAAGGGAATTTATTTGTTGGTGGTGCTGTTGGTTGCACCAATGTTCCTTAATCCACATGTAGAAAAAACTCTTTCAAAGAAACAGAAAGTATTTTACAGAGATGAGTTAAAGGTAAGGAAGCTTAAATTACTGAAGTTTGGAACACTTGCTTATATTGATTGAATGTGCCCGTTCTTCCTTCTAATATGGGTTTATGGATTCATTTCCTCTTACAGAGCATTAAGTTAGAGCTTTAAAAGCTTTTCAGTGTACAAAGTCTGGTACAGACAATGTCAAATTCAAACACAGAAAAAGGTTTTTGATTTGAGTCATTCCTTCAGGGAAGTTTTAAAAGTCACAAGTATCTCAGACACTGAACTGTGATGAAGTAGGTGAGGAAAAACTCATCAAGTATTTTAGAGTCTGTCTTTCAGGGTCAGATAGGTTTTTATGAGTTTGTCAGGCAAGAGATGATCCAAAGGCCTAGGCTAGACAGATCACAGTCTAGATCCAAAATAACATTTTCTTCTGCAGACTGTGTTGCAGTTTGATCATTCCAAGCTCTCTAAAGTTTTTTTTAGGAAGTAACACGAAACACTTAAATCTTTTTAATCCTCAAGCTACAATGTCATTTCCACTTTAAATTAAATTGTACTGTTTCACAGTCCAGTGCATCACTATGCTGAGGCAAGCTGTAAACTGTGGAAGAAATGGGGAAAAAAAATCCTACAAAACCCCTCAGGGGATGCCAGATTGCAGTGGATCAAAGAGTCAATTTCTAACATTCACACAAATTAAAAATTAATAGCTGATCATTTAAGAATCAAAAGCAAAAAAAAGGTTTTAAATGAATCAGCACATCCAGGAAGCATCTCTTTAGCAGCCCTTGCCCCTGGGTCCAAAAGACAGGAGGGGCTCCAGCCTCTGGAGTGTCCTGGCTGCTCACTGAGCCTAAGCCAGCTCATCCCAGCATCCCAGCTCCAACTGCTCCCCTGGCATCTTGCAGTGGCTGACATTTTTCTCATCTCCTGCTATTTCTCTGTGTCAGTGCTATAAAAGGAGTATGAGTACATAACTTTCTGGCAGACAGTAACATTTGGGAAACATATTTGCCTACTTTTTATGAGACGCCTCTGTAGTTTAATGGGGTTAGTGCAAATAAAATAATATTTTCCAATCTGAAACTGAACATCTGTCATAAAAGTACTCTCTTTTGGCTCTAGCTGGTGAGAAAAAATGCAGGCCCATATTCAGAGCTGGAGAAAAGTGACATATTTTAAACTTCAATCATTAGACCAGTTTACTGCCATGAAAGTTTTTCCTCCTAATTTAATTCAACAAGATTTTAAAATTACAGAAGGACATATAACACTGAACTTTATAAATTTTAGTACATCCAGATATTGAATTTCTTCTTTTAGGTCTAGTATTAATACAACTTTAGCCTAATCATGACTGTGGTGTACCCTTGTGTTGAAGATTTTACAAACAGTGTCCCTGAAAAATGCCTTGCCCAAGGGAGAATACTATGTTAAAGAGTGGCTAGGGTAATACATTGGTTCCTTCTTCTACTGCTTTGGCAGCTGGTCATTTTGGGTTTGGTCTCTACATGATTTCTTTCTGCTTTTTTTCACTTCTTGAAGTAGGCAGGAATGTGCTATTAGATGCCTTCTAGATAAAGGCTATTGCATAGTACACAGCTTTAAGGTGGGGAATAAACAAAACACAATAAATTATTAAAAATCAAAGTTGCCATACTAGGCAGTCTTCCCTATCCAAGAAGCTCCATCATTATTAATTTATTATTATAACTTAGAGAGAGAAGAATGAAACCCAAGGATTTATTGAGTTATTTATTTATTATTTACTTCATATATATATATATATATGTGTGTGTGTGCATGTGAATAATGTTTTTATTATTTATTCTGGGCCATCCTGAGCCCTCATCTATTTGCCTACCATTCTGGTATGCATGGAGACATAGTGTAGCAGGTAAAGCTCATGGCTTGAGCTTGGATTGCACCTGGGCTTGGCTAGTCTGTGTGTGTGGTCTTAAAGGCCAACTATTCATATGAACCATGATGCCTAAATCAAGGAAATTCCTTAAATCAACAGCTAGCAGATCTGTGGCCCTGATTTTTAAAGTTTTTCTGGTGTTTACATTCTTGTAACGAACTGTCTCACACACTTTATGTAAACAACTTATTGTTTTGCATTCTTTTGTGGAGGAGGAGAAATTTGATGGACTGTTGGTTTATCCAGAGTCATTGGAGAGGTGGCACTGGCACCCTCCAACCCACTGTTACTTTTGGAAATCTATAAATGCTGGAGTCAGAAATTAAAAATTTTCTACTTACCCTTGAGAGAGCTGCGTGTCCACGTCATGTTATTTCATGTCCTATAGTGACACAGATCAATTTCCACAGTAATATCCACAATGCAATTTCCCCAGTATTCTCAAACCCCATGCTACTTGTGTCTCAGCTTGCTCTGTGATATTCCATACTTATTCACCCCTCTGTTTCCTGCTCTTTAGTATAACTTAAGCTGCCTCCTTTGATGTGCTCATTAGCAGACACGGAACATGCTGAAGTACGAGTTTGAGCAATTGCATTTTCACATGTAGGCAGTCTTTGACATTCCCTGTTTAGTGGAGTATTTGTGAGGGTTTGAGGGTTTTTTTGTGTTTCACTTATCACCAAAATAGTTTTGAGAGAATAGGAAATACAACTTGTATTCTCTGTCTGCTATATCTATGTATCTTCTGTATCTATATATTTTTGACATAAATCTAGAAGCCTGCAAAGAGAAAAAATTCTCTTTTTTGCCTACCTTCTACCTTTCAGAATAGCAAACACCTTTTCTACTACTGTCCATCATACTCCTAATATTTGTTCAGACAAATTTCTGCTTTCATGTTTGAGGCTTCTAAGGTTAGAGTTAAGAAGTGAAAGTGAAAATTCTAAAATGCTTTGGCCTGTTTTAGTAATTTGCTTGCACTAAAAAACTTCAGTGAGTACCATACAGGTCGTGAATCTTTTCTTATGTACCTCTGTAAATTAATTCAATAGTGTAACACAATTTTAAAATGTGATAATAACAATGGAGGGGATCCCAAATCAAAATTCAGGCTGTGAACACTAATTAAAATTAGAGTTGGCTCATGAACTAAACTCATACACTTTAGCTTTCTTTACTGGTATCAAGATTTTAACTGAGTAACCTGAAGCTAAGTATTAAAGTTCTGGGTTGTTTTCAAGAGCAGAAGTTCAGCTGCTGCTGCTGGAAGCAGAATGCAGGTATAAGCACATCTCAATTGATTAATGTGTAATTAATAATACAGAACAAAAACCATTGCGTACAGTTTGCACTTAACGATCATAACTTGTGCATAATTCCTATCAAACCTGCCCAGTTTGTAAAATAACACTGGCTCTCCCAATATATGAGATGCCTCGTGGGGTGCAAGTAATGGATTTTAATTGATTTTCTTTCTGGATAGATTCCATTTGGTCCATAAAATCTCAGACCTTGGCGTGTATGATTTCAACTCTCTCTCCCAGGTAACACAAGGTGTCATGCCATATGCTGAAATACATTTGCAGCTGAAACATTACTCCTGATGCTTTCCAGTGTTTTGGGGTTTTTTTTGTTTGTTTGTTTTTGGGTTTGTGTTTTTGGTTTTGGTTTTGGTTTTGGGTTTTTTTTTTTTTGGGGGGGGGGGGTGTTTTTTGTTTTTTGCCTATACCAGTGCCTCACTTCCCTAGAAATCAGGAGGCACAGAGTGCGCTGCTGACTGATGTGGTGTGGCAGGCTCCAGTGCAGGTGCAATAATAAGAAACAAGACTCAGATTATTGTTGGAATGTAAATATAAACCTTAATCCTCAGTGTCACTTGTTTCTGAAACGCGGCACTTAACACAGTTTGTGTAGTGTTACTTGGCATGTTTTGCTTTTGTTACTCAGCGCTATTTTGTGTAGCGACTTCACGGGCGCTCCCTCCCTCCCGTATGCTGTAAATACAGCATCTTCAATAGACCCGTAGCGAGAAAAACAGTTTGGAGGTGATTCCGCGACGTGCCTAGGTACCGTGAGGTCATTACGGGTGTGAAATACACCCTGTTGGCAGGCGGGCACCGGAGCGTCCTGGGGCCGCGGGAAGCCGCCCGCTCCCACGGGAGCCAGCGCCGGGAGCCAGCGCCGGGAGCCAGCCCCGCGGGCAGCCCCGGCCTGGGTGCCCGGAGCTGGGGGCAGGTCCAGCCCGCGGGGCGCGGCCGGGGAGCCGCCCTCCGCCCGCCCCCGGCCCCGCCGCCTCCCTCATCCTTCCTCCCATCGCTGCCATCCCTCCGTGCCTCGGTGCCGGCGCGGCGCAGGGCAGGGCGGCGATGTGGCGGTGGCGCTATGTGAGCGGCCGGCAGCTGCACGGCTTCCGACACTACAAGGTACGGGGAAGGTACGGGGCAGCCCCGGGGCCGGGAGGGAGGGCGGGCGGCGGACGGGCAGCCCCGGGTGGCATCTCGGCTCCGGAGCGCTCCGCTTCGGGCGGCTGGGTCCTGGCCTCACTGTGAATGCGGCCCCGGCCGGCCGGGCCATCCCTCCGCCGCCGGGGGGTCCGCAGGGCTCCCTCCACCTGTGCCCGCAGGGGGATGTCCCGCACCTCCGCCTGTGCCCGGCTCCGATGGAGTGCGTGCCCTGGGCAGGAGGTGGGTGTTCGCGGGGCGGCAGGTGGGTCTCGGTGGAGGCAGAGTGAACTGGGTTTTGAGTGAGTATCAACGTCTGTCAAAGCTGTGCCCGTTTTAGAGCAGCGTGGTTTTGGGGGCATCCGGTGTTTCTGTAAGAAAGCACGCATTGATGCTGCTTGTCTGGCTGTCTGCAAAGCCTTCGGACGCAGGAATGGTCTGGCGTTGAGAAATAAATAAGAAAGCCGTCAGAGGGGGGAAAGAAAAACTTTAAATAATTTGATCTAAACCTCATGTTTGCAAATAACCGGCATGCAGAATCTCAGTAAATGGGTGAATCATTAGATATTTGAATTTACCAGTGTTATGTCATGGACTTAGGAGTTACGGGGGATGAAGTACAGGGATCATCCAGGTTTGTGCCAGTTGAGGTGCAGGTGTCTGAAATGGACCATGCCACCGTGTTCACACACCCTCACCTCTTTCCTCGTGAAAAGCAGGAGGGGCAGACCAGCTTCTACCAGCACAACACCCAGCCTATTATTTTATGTTCAGTTTGCCAAAGCAGCCCTACACCATGCTCCCCAAGATTCTTGCCTTCTTGCTTTTACCGTGTGCCTTCCCAGGCTGGGCTCCAACCAGGGCATTCAGCTTTTCCTGGTTCCTATCAAGCCCTTCCGTTCCCTGGGCCAGCAGCTCTGCCTGTTTACCTCAGCAGGAATGAAGGTGGAGGAAGTGTGGCTTCGAGAGTGTTCTCCAGGTTGCTTCCTAGGAACTTGTTATGCACAGAAGCTAATTAAAATGTACCAACCTGTTTGTGTGTCTCCGATGTGAGTGGGATAAAACATTCTGCCAGCTGCTTCTGGCCACAGGGCATGAGTTGTGCAGGTCTGTGCTTGAATGGTGAAGCCACAGTCTTGACTGAGATCAGGAGGAAGAAAAATAAAAAGCAAGTTTTAAGATAAATGGATGTTGTTATTTAAGTAACTTCCCTGAATTATTTGAATTCATGGTACAAATATGGGAATGCTTGTATTACATTCTTTCTTATCACTTGAATGAAAATAGCTTCAAACAAGTGCAGATGAGGAATAATCAAGACAACGTTTTTAAAAAAACCTGTAATCATTGTGCCATACTTATGATTTACAGGGCAAATTATTACCAAAAGGCAGAATCACATATCAAATAATTTAATTTTAATATATTGGTTTCTCAAGAGCATTGCTGAGAAACTATGTAGGGTAATTTTTCTTAAGTACAAGAATCAGCCAACACAGATACTTAAGTATCTGTTCTTCTGTCTTCTGAAAAAAACCCCTAGTAACTGCAGGCTTTAGAAAGACGAAATCAAATGGTTTTCTTTTACCTGAGGTGACTTGGGACTAGGATACCTTGGAAATAAATAAATCCAAATGGCATGTGTTTCACACAGAGAAGTACAGCTACATGAGGTTGGTGCTGCTGAGCTGGTCAGGTATCTGCACCATTTTCCTGGTGCTCCAGGTTGCAGGAGGACCTGGCAGGTGATGGCAGCTCTCCCTATTCCTAAACGCTGCTCACAGTGATTTAATGTACTCCAAAAATACAAAAGGGGTGCAGCAAGGAAACACTAATCATTACCACAATCTCTTGTCCTTCACTCTTCCATACCTGGGGCTGCCACAACTGCAGCTTTGTTCTCACCACCTCCCAGGCCTGACACATGCTCTTCAACCTCCTGTTGCCCTCTGGCTGCCATCTCTTCCCCTTCAGCCTAGGGCCTTACTGCATCCTGGTCCTTCAGCTTCCCAGCCCCTTGGAGGAGATTGCTGCTTCCTTTGCTCCCTACTCAACAGGTGCTAAACTCTGATCACTGTGCCCAGCCCACATGGGTTACCTCTTCTTACAACCTCCTCGCTGTTTCTGCCCTGTGTTTCCTGGTGAACTCAGGTGTGGAGTAGTGTGGAGGGATATGTGCGTTGGCCCTGTGAAGAACTAGATAACCTCTGAAAGGATCTGTAAGCATACATTCAATATTGAGCTAAAACACTTCTGGATTTGAAATGTGCATAGAAACTTTAGATTTAGTAGCATCCATCTCTCTGTTGTACATCACACTGCAGCATTGTACTCACGGTACTCTCAGTGGCTTAACGTACTCCATACTTTGCACAATTTGTCTGCTGAGCGTAACACAGCTTAAAAAAAATAATTTGTGCAATCAACTGCTTTTGTAAAGGTAAATATGGCCTGAAAAAAATGCTGTTCAATTTTCAAAATTTTCGCACAGCTGAATTCATTTCTCTGCCATGAATGCTCCAATTGTATGTTTCAGGCACTGTCTGTCTCCTGTTTGCAGTTGGAGGAGGGCCTTGGCAACAAAACCAGCACAGTTCTTTGCTAAGGGAATGGCAGACCTCTAATGAATGCAAAGATTTCAGCACCCTTTAGCATGTTAGGTCCATGGATATTAGGCTTTTGAAGCAAGTTTTCCCCAGTTACCAAGCTTTGGCTTACATCACAGAGTGACCTCAGAGCACAAAAATGCATTCCCTTAGGATGAACCTAAACCAGCTAACAAACACACAAGTACCCCCAGTACATTCAGTCCCTAGTATTATAATGGAACCAGCTTATGTGATACCTTCTGAAATCCTTATAGCACAGGCACTGGCTCCTCAGGACTAGCTATTTCACTTTACTAATCTATTCCCATTCATTCTGCCTGTTAATGGGGTTTTAGAGATTCAGTGTTCCTTTTTCTGCTTAAAAGCACACTGAGAACAGGTGGAGATGTGACACTGAGACAGTTCAGACACAACCCTGAATATTACTGCTGTGATATTTCTGCCACCTTCTTGCCTCTGGGGCAGGTGCTGATTTCAGGACAGTTGCATGCTCAGGCGATTTGCTGCAACTGTACCACAGAAGATTCTTATCTTTGGTTTGTGTCCTGTTCTCCAGCACATGGAGCAACACAGCCAAAAAGCTACAACCAACTGGAATTGTAGGGCTTGGATCATGTTGTTCCTTACTTTTATGTTTTATCAGCGTTTTGTAGTTCTAGAAGAGCAGCCATGGAATTACACTGCTACCTTTTTTTTTTCTGCCTGCTTGGGTTTCTGTTGGAAACAAGCTGTTCTGCAACAACCAGGTGATGAGCACAGATAAAAGCAGAATTTGGTTCTTTATTTTTATTCTTCTCACCAGAATGCAGTAATGTCAGTGGTGAGCTCTTGTTGCCATTGTCTCTTCTCATCACTTCATTCTTAGGATTTCCCTTGCATATTTGCCTTGAGTCACCTTTTTTTTTACAGTACCTGGGCACAGAGGTTCTTCAAGCCAGAAAACTGATGCTTTATCCTGTTTGAGAATAAAAGAGATCTAAGAACAAGCTATAGAGGCTTGACTCAAATAATAGGCCTGGAAAAGATGATTTAAAAACTCAGATACAACATTAAAAATTGACATCTAAGGTTCCACATTTTCATCTTGTTTTGTCCACATTGTTTCTATCCTCGAAGTCATTTTTTAGCAGGTAGCTCTGTGTTGATAAGGGGTGTGGTGAAGAGGGGAGAGTAAATGAGGTACAAATAGTTTAATTTCAGTGAGGGGTCTGCTACTGTTTCATCTTCTCACAAGTAAAGTAGGTAGAGGTAATTAAGATGAAATCATTGTAAAATTGAAACATTTTAAAGAGTTTAAAATATTTCTTCAAAGAGAATGGAAACATTTAAAGTTTTCTGTCAAAGTAGGAAGTTCTATCAACATACACCGCTACCTCTCTGTCTGAACTCTATTGCTGTTCGATACTTTCATTAAGTAACAGAAGGGAGAACATTGTAAAATTTTCACTATACTTAAGAATTTTGAAGAATAGGTTTATTATTTAAAATATACTTGGAAAAGGGATATAATAGCCAGAAATCAATATGAAAAAATTCAGTAACCAACGTTTTGCTTAGGGGAAAGAAAATCAACATTTAAAACATAAAATAAGAGACAACAGAGTGCAGGAAAGATACCAGGGGATCAGAGTGTTGACAGCATTGTGGCTGTTATAATAAAGGGAAAAAAGATCTTAAGCTGGAAGTGTCATAAATATGTCAAAGGGTTACATTTACTCCTGTAGCTGATGTACTGATCAGGTATCAAGTGGAATAATGTGTCCTGCCTGCTTTGGCCCACAGTTTGCAGTCCTCAGAATGACAGTATGAATAACAAGAGGCTTAGAAAAGATGAACTGTGTGAGACAGTCTGAGTAAAGTGGGAGTAAGAGCCTAGTAAAGAGTGCCCTTTGAAAGAAAGACAAGATGTGAGTTTTGGCTGCACAAAGAGAAATTTAAGGCATCTGCTATGTCAGTCTTATGTTAATAAGGCCTGCTGGAACAGGTACTAAAGGGGATTGGGCAATCATTTTATCAGTCTTAAGAAATGACTTGATTTCTCTGAGGCAAGATCAACAATCTAGTGTTGAGTATTAATAAACAAACAGTTGCTGACACCTTTTTATGAAAGTTTTGGGTAATGTATTTTCTTTTAATGTGCTGGCATGTTTGCTTTCTACAAGCAATGGGGCCATTACCTCATGGAAACTTGATCTGCATCCTTAATGTATACTGAACGTGATCTTGCATTAGGTGAACACTCTGGACTAGAAGATCTCTCAAATTACATCCCAGGCCTCATTTTGGAGGGTTAGAGAAACAAGATCAGATGCGTAGTGATCACGTTTCAAGGTCTGACTCTTTCTCTTACACTGACTTATACCAGAAGAGCAA